TTGGGGAGCCCCCCAGAGCAAACCCCTCTTCTACGGGCTGCACCATCCTGAGTCCCATGCTTGCCTGTGTGGCGCCTATCAGTTAATTGTGTCAGTAGATCTAGAAATAAAGTTAAAGTTAGAAGAACAGTGCACATCATTGCAAATCAGGATGGCAGATATTCATTAAGAAAATCAAACCATACTTCAGGACAGCCAACTTCTTTTACATCTTCCATGGCTTGTTTCGTAGCATGGCAATTAACTTCTTTTTTTCTTCTACCTCTTCTTTCAGCTTGGCCAATTCCTCCTCTGTAATCAGCTCCTCCTCAGAATCATAATCAGAGCTGCAAGCAAAAACAGGGAGAAAACAGTCACTAAAGCTCAGGAGGGACAGAAGTTTTCATTGATGTATGTACTTGGTGCTAATTCTTGTCTTCTTTAAGACCTAAGTGTCTTCTCTGCTGCTCAGAAGGGAGGATGGAGTTCCTAGACTGGCTGGAAATAACAGTGTAAAAGGCAGAGCCAGCATGCCGAGTGCCATACAGCAGAGCCCCAGCTGAACCAGCATCACACCTGGAGCGATCCCATCACAGATGGTGAACAGGCAGCCCTTTCGGAGATGTGTCTGACAGCTGGTGATTGCTCCCATAGGAGTAACCAACCTCCTCAGAGTCCAACCCAAACTCAGAGTGGGCAAATGAGGATGCTGTAACTGCAACATTTAAAATTAAGTTGTCCACCCCACTATGCCTCAAGAGAGAAGAGACACCACGACCACAGCAGACGCATTTAAACCAGATGACAGCCCATGGCTATCTCCACTAATTGAGACAGTAACATTTCAGATCTGGGAAGGTTAAAAGCCACATTGCAGAATGGCTGCCACACATCCTGGTGCTGTTAGTAAGCAGAGGCAATAGTAATGGCATCTCCAGCTGTGTTTTGTTTACAAGGTGAACATATTATTCATGCACCAATTTGTAGTATCTATGAAAAACTTGGTTGATTAAGGTAATGTCTACTTTCCTAAAACCTACACAGATCTTTTCTGTGAGCAATCTTATAATGGCAGAAAATCAATAGCAACAGGTGTTTCCTCTTTTTATGCCAGCTAACAGGAAAATAATAAAAAAGAAACTCCAACTTCCTGCCCTAAAAAGCTGACAGGGATGACTACCATTAACCAAGCTCTTAATAAAAACAAACTGTTTGATGTGCTTTTATTTTTTGTTAGGGGGTTGTTTTGTTTTGCCCTTTTTACTGTTTGGAATGTTTGAAAATGTACTACAGTTTTTTGGAAACAGTTTTCCATTTTTTAATTGCTTTGGGAATGGTTCACTCAAACTTTATCAAGCTAGCAGTTTTCAGGCAATTTTGCTTACAATTCACCTTTTTGAGTGTTTGATATTCAAAATCTGATGTCCGAGCTGAATGATTAGTTACCTAAGTCACCTAATAGTATGGTTTATGTACTCCAGATAACTAAGGAATTATAAACTTTTGCTTCTGTCAAAACAGATAACACAGCTACAATAAAAGATGTGTTCTAATGTTCAGAACTTTGGGACACAATCCAAAATGTTTGGCCTTCATTCAGTTTTATATTTTCAGTGGTCTTTTTTAATTGACACTCAGTAAATGTTTACAATAGAAGACAATAACAATAAGCAAAGGAACATGGATTGGCAGAATCAGGACTGTTGCTATATGAGTACAAGAAATTGCACAGAGGGGTATCATTGGCACTATAGTGAAGAGCTCACACAAAGACAGATTTTAGACATTCTAATAGGGAGGGAGAATGAAGTCAAAGTATATTGAAATGGGATCGTGGACATAATACAACAGCATGTCTCACCATATTTTTTTTCCCTTTGACTCCTGCTGTGTGCTCCAAAGGTGCCTTTGGAAACACAAACAGCTGTAGCATGTGCTGACTGGGGGAAGGGGAATCTCTCTCCCTGTTCACTGAGATAAGCATATCTAGCTCCATTTGCTCCATGACATACTATTCCCAGAAGTTGTTTCCTTTCAATAATATGAGGGGAGCAAAAGAACACCAGAATGCAAGAAAAAAACACAAAAGAATTTTCAGAAGTGCTCAGTACCTGTGGGATCTCCCAAAGACCCATGATTGCATTAAATGCTTTGGAAAGGTGACTAAATATTTCAGTGGGAGCCAGTGAGAGATGAACTTTGGACAGTCCCACCTCAGTTCCTGGTTCTGACTCCCTGAAGCTGTGGCACTGATCTTTTATGAAAAGCTGACTCCAACTAGGCTTGTAAACAAAAACTCCATTTTGTGAAAAGTGTCAAGATTTTAGTTCCACACCAGAAATAAAATTAGACCTTGGGTGTTTGTTGGGTTTTGAGCTCCTCCATGACCATCCCTCTCTCATTCACTCCCCTCCTCTGTCACCTTCCCTTCCCTTTCTCCAGAGGACAACTCATAAACTTAGGGCATTTAACACCATAAGGAGGAGCCAGGCTCAGGTTCCTGTTCTATATGACTGGATTTGTTTTTGATCAGGTATTGGTGGTCCCGGAAGGGTATGGCTAATGGTTTCCAGAAGTTGCACCCTGGACCCACAACACCCTCCTGACTTCGTTCCATTGCAACAGATACGGTTTTGTGGAAAGTTTCCATTTCACTCAGTCAGAATTTCCTCACTGCAAAAAAGACATTCTGTCCAGCTCAAATTGGGCTCAAATGAGTAAAGGAGTCATATTGACTCTTGATATTTCACAGCTATAAATGAAAACAGGCTTTACATGAGATAACAATAGGTTTCATATAAAAAAATGAATTTACTAAATTACCCTGAACCTGATTTCTTTGTCTTTTTTCTTCTTGTTGGCCTTCTCTTTTTTCCCTTTCTTATCAGATTTTTTATCCTGTTTCTTCTCATTTTTGCCTTTCCCACTTTTGCATCCTTTCTCATCTTCTTCATCATCTTCCATGTATTTCTGATTTGCCTGGTTCTTCCTGGTTTTGCAGGGTTCCACCTTAGAATCGCTGCCCTCATTTCCAGCTGCTCTTCCCCATCCTCTCCTGTTTCTGTGCCTGTGATGTCCAGATCTCCTTGGCCCATCTTCATCATCATCCCCATCTTCCTCTAGTTCTCCCTCTGACATGCCCCCATCTGGTTCTGGGTGTTGCTTTCTTCCTCTCTTTATCTGTGATGGGGGAAAAACACAAGAGAAAGCAGCATGTTGAAGGGAGACCTTCCCTGCCCTTGTTTTGTACTTTATAATACAAAAACTTCTGAGTGTAGCCTCAAAGTTATCCACACCTAGTTCCCTATTTCTTTGACATTTTCTTCATTCTCAGCTGCACTGCCTTCTTCTTTGTCAGCATCACTGCTATCTGTGAAATGAAAAAAAGCCCAGTGTACATTAAGTGAGGAGTAATCATTAGGAATACAGGGCTTTTACAAAATGCTTAGAAATAGCTCCATTTCACTGTTTCATAAACCCAACTTTTTGGAACTCTGAATAGTTTAAGAAATAAGGTGAAGACAGGAACAATGCAGTTACACTATCCTTTAGTATTCAGATAAGTAAGCCTGAAAGTGATGCCATGAAGAAGTTCCTCATTATCTTATGGAAATAAGTAGGACAGGAGGACCCGCAAAAAGAAACACCATGAGCAGCAACATCCCACAATATGGGGAAAAGAAGGGAGATGAAAAATGCTTCTCAGCCTGGTTACAAACATCTTTGTTTTGTGTGGGATGTCTTGCTTAAGTTGTTCAGTCTTACTAGCAATTAATACTAAGTTCAATGAGAGAGGCTGTTCTGCTACCCATTCATAACCAGGAAAGTAGCCAAATGATTTACATTGTACACTTTGAAATTGGGATCATGCATATATGGAGAAGAAAAGTACTCCTCTCTTTCATATACCTTATAGCCATAGGAATACTGTGAATATATGGGAGTTATGCATACACAATATTTAACTAATAGTCTCTCTGGAAATATTTGTATGAACATATTACACAACATGTCACTACTGGAACTGCCAGTGGTATAGAGAGATACACAGTGGTAGGGGATTAAAGAGACTGTGGTCCGTATGGCTGTTTTTCAGGTAACAAGAAACTACAGTTATCTTTTGTTCTCACTTACCTGGAGTTCTTTTGAATTTTTCTTTATATTCCATCTTTATCCACCCATTCTCTAGTTCCTTTCATAGATTTTATTAAGCCACTAGTGATTTCTTGAAAATTTATATACAAGTTAATCTGGTGACTATTGCAGGTAAAGTAGCAGGCACAATTTATTAGCTTTAGCCAGATAGGAGAGTATCAAGCAAAAATGGTAAAATATATAAGGCTGCAAACAAGAAATAACCTA